GACATCGGTAGATGTGACGTGTGATCAACTGACCTATATGCTTCGCGTGATTGAAGGGCAGCTCTGACCAATGGGCAGACCAATCAGTGCTGTGAAAGACATACTAAAAACGCTGTTTAACGATAAAGTGCTGCAAAACGGACATATTTCGTGTGCACACATGAAAAACGGGTATAATCAGGTCTAGTCTGACTGCCTTATGAGCAATATCCAAGGTGGCATCGTTATCTCACCCAGACGGACAGGTATATTGTCATGTAGCGTACCTGTGACGATGTCCTTGTTGTCCACCTGTAGCATGAGCTGATTGCCCTTACGCGTCAGCTTGGCCGTGTGCCACAGTCCGTCGTTAAGGTTGCTGCCCGTGTAAATCACCTACAGTAAACACACTCATGACGGATTACCACACGGACACACAAGACACGGCAAGAAAGCATTGCCCGTATCGTCGCAGATGTCAACACAACAAGTGGAAAGGCTGATGAGCTCCCTCCACCCCTCACCCCACATTGCCCCCCCAGAGCCCTCATGACTTGCCACCCCTCCTACCACAGCAGAGCCCCCCCCCCCCCCACACACACACAGACACCCACTCATACACAGCACAGTCCCCCAACAGCAGCACCCCCAGTACGGCAGAGCAGGAGCGGTGGACAACTCACACGAGGCTTGGATCCCAGGCTACATTCCGCGCGCAGACGTCCGTTATCGAGACCAAGCTGCACGTATCCCGCGCTCCCGTCACTCGCCACCATCGACAATAGAACGCCGTTCGCGCTGCTCGTCTTGAAGTCGACGGAGATGGTATCACCCTGTGCTGTCAGCGCGCCGCTGAGTGGCAGCACTTTCATCATCTGATGCCCGTCAAAGGACAGAACAATGTCCGCCTCTGTGAAGAGACGGAAAGGAAGTGAGAGGAGAAAATAATGCAATAATGTTATCACAAATCAATTTATTATTTACAAATTGAATTTATTTATTATATATTAATAATGATATATAATAATTCATAATTAATATTGATATATAAAAGCTGAGGTCAGACCAATGCTGAGCAGGATGGCAAATAATACAATAATATCATTACACATTAACTTACTACTTACACATCAAAATTTATTTATTACAAACTACTATTAAAATAACACGCAGTAAGGACAAAGTGTGCTTCTCCTAACAGACGGACAGACGTGAGCGAGGTAAAAAAATTATCCCAGTCTCACGATCGCAGCATCGCGTACCTACATACCTTCACCTAGCGAACATTAACATGCACAGACGTGCAGAGGTAGGCCGGTTAGAGTATGTTACATACGTACATCTTAATTATTATACACGTAATACACATTAAGTAAGTACACATTATACGTATATATTACGCACCCTCAGCTAGCAAACCCTTACCTACGCACCCTCACCTAGCAAACTTCACACCTGAAGGTTAACGTACCATTGAGGTAGGCTGGGTAGAGTATGTTGAAGCTTCCAGGCACGTCGTGAGCCCACATGTCGAAGAACGGGTAAGACATGAACATGAACTGTTGCATGTGCCCCGTGAAGAAGGTCGCGGAGTCGTAGTCGACGGCGCCAGTCTGCTGAAGGCCGACGTTGATCTGAGTGATCGGCATCGGATCTGAAATACAGGCACGTGGTAGTCAGTGACGTATCGCGTATACAGAGGAAGTGAGAGAGAGGGGAGTGGAGAGAGGGAGAGAGAGAAAGAGAGGGACCGAGCGAGAGAAAGAGAGAGAGAGAGAGAGAGAGAGAGAGGCAGTAAAAGAAGGGGGCGCGAGAAAGAGAGGGAGAGAAAGTAGATAAATTTTGGAATAGTATTTTATTAAATGAATCTGAATTCATCCCCTCTGTGCATTCACGCTGCAGGTCAATCGCAGGCCAAAGTCTACTCTGACTCGATTCGCTTCACTCACCATTGGTGGTAAAGATCCTCTTCTCAGACCAGTAGTCGATGACCAGGCTCACATCTCTGCCCTTGCGCCTGATGTAGACGTAGTGCCAGTTGCCATCATCCAGGTTGTTACCGGCCGTAAGTTGCTGCAAACGAACGATGACATTTCACAGATAAACACCTCCACTTGGCTGCGAGTCTACAAATGCCTCGAGCTATTGCACCTGAGATAGTTCCCTGCCATAAACTGCCACATGCGAACGATGATATTTCACAAATAAACACCTCCCCACCCGGCTACAAATCTACGAGTGCCTTGAGCTTGTGGTTCGAAATTGTTCCCCGCTGTTAATTGACACGTGCGAACGATAACATTTCGCCGATACACGCCTCCCCACCCGACAGCGACTGCCTTCTAGATCTGCCCACGTCACATGGAGTGGTACCATTAGCAAGTTTGGATCGCCCGACCCTCAGCAGGATCGCCCGCGCGCGCTTGCCTCGCGCAAAACCTACCATCTGATGAGCGCCTATCTGTATGAAGAGCACGACGCGGCCGCGGCTCAGGTAGACGTGGATGATGCGGCTGGAGGCGGGCGACGCCTCACGCTTGCTGCGGCTGCCGGCGCCGCTGCGAACGACGCCCGTGTGCGTCGTTGCCGACATGATCGTGCCGGACTTGAGCGACGTCTGGAACCTGCAGGATGCCTCAAAGTCTCCCGTCTGCAGCGCCGCGCTGGGTGTAATCTTCATGAAGTAGTTCCCGGGGAAGTTGAGCACCGTCGGAACTGTGGATGGAGAAGCCAGCATGAATAACCATAGCAGAGATGTTGATGGAGGGAGAAGGCAACATAGTAACTATAGCAGAGATGTTGATGGAGGGAGAAGGCAGCATAGTAACTATAGCAGAGATGTTGATGGGGGGAGAAGGCAGCATAGTAACTATAGCAGAGATGTTGATGGAGGGAGAAGGCAGCATAGTAACTATAGCAGAGATGTTGATGGAGGGAGAAGGCAGCATAGTAACTATAGCAGAGATGTTGATGTGGCAGGGAGAAGGCAAATAGTAACTATAGACAGAGATGTTGGATAGAGAAGATATGGCAGCATAGTCAACTCATAGCCGCAGATGTTTTTGATTTGGACGGGTAAAAAGCCAACATAGTAACTATAGCTCAAAATGTTGATGGAGAGAGAAGGCCAACCATAGTAACGTATAGCTAGAGATGTGATGGGGAAAGGCAGCATAGTAACCTATAGCAGAGATGTTGATGTGGAGGAGAAGACAGCATATGTTAACTATAGCAGAGATGTTGAATGGAGGGACGAAAAGACAGCACTAAGGACTATAGCAGGAGATGTTGATTGGAGGAGAAGGCAAACATAGTAATAATAGTCCGAGAGTTTGATGGAGGGAGAAAGCCATAGTAACTATAGCTAGAGATGTTGATCAGAGGGAGAAAGTCAGCATAGGTAATCTCTAGCAGAGATGTTGATGGCAGGGAACAGCAACAGCATAAGTAACTAACGCAGAGATAGTTGATTGGAGTGAGAAGGCTAACATAGTAACTATACAGCAGATGGCTTGATGGAGGGAGAACGGCAACATAGTAACTACTAGCAGCGATGTTATAGAGGGAGAAGCAGCATCAGTAACTATAGGCAAGATGTTGATGGAGAGAGAGGCAGCATAGGTAACTATAGCCAGAGATGATTGATAGAGGGCAGAAGGCAGCATAGCTAACCTATATCAGCAGACATGTTGATGTGCGGGAGAAGGCAACATAGTAAACTATATTAGCAAGATGTTGATGGAGAAGACGATAGGCAACATATCACTATAGCAGAGATGTTGATGGGAGGAGAAGGCAACATCCGTAACTATCGCAGAGATCGATGGCTTGATGAGGGAGAAAGGCCAACATAGTAACTATATCAGAGAGTGTGAATAGAGGGAGAAGGCAGCATACGTAACTAATAGCAGAGATGTGAATGGAGGGAGAAAGGCAGCATAGAACTATAGCAGAAGATGTTGACCTAGAGGGATAAAGGCAGCATAGTAACTAGGCAGTAGATGTTGATGGGGGGGAGAAGGCATGTCATCAGTAACTATTATGCAGTAGATGTTGATTGGAGAGAGGCCAGGCAACATAGTAACAGCTAGCACGAGATGTGATGGAGTGGAACAGGCAAACCTAGTAAACTATAGCGGAGACTGTTGGATGGAGGCGAGAAGGTCAACATCCGTCCTATAGCCAGAGATGTTGAATGGGGGGAGAAGGCAGCCATAGTAACTATAGCAGAGATGTTGTATGGATGGGAGAAGGCAATCAATAGTAACTATCTGCAAGAGATGTTTGATGGGGGAGAAGGCATCATCAGTAATATAGCCCAGAGCTGTTAATGGAGGGAGAAGGCAACATAGTAACTATAGCTAGAGATGTTGATGGAGCGGAGGAAGGCAACAACTAGTAACTATAGCTAGAGATGTGACTGGAGGGAGAAGGCATCATAAGTCACATAACGAGAGATGTTGATGGAGGCGAGAAGGCAGACATAGTAACTGATAGCAGAGATGTTGAGATGGAGAGAGAAGGCAAACATCGTAACTGATAGCAGAGATGTTTGATGGAGCGAGAAGGCAACATAGTAAACTATTACCAGAGATGGTTGATGGTGAGGCGAGAAGGACAGCGCATAAGGTAACTTAGGCAAGAGATGTTTGATGGGGTGGAGAACGGCAGCATTATGTACCTAATAGCAGAGATGTTGATGGAGGGAGAAGACGAGCAATAAAGTAATTATTAAAGTCTAGTAGCAGAGCTGTAGAGAGAGAAGAAACCATAACTTAACTATAGCAATTAGTTGTGGATGGAGGGAGAAGATACAGTGCCAACTGTAGCAAAACTGTGGCTAAGATGGAATAGAGACTTTTTCCTCTGCTGTACAAGTGCACTCCACCGGGTAATGCGATTATCGGCTCCCACTCTGCCTGGCCCGCTGTAACATGTCAAATATGGGCATGCCGTCGATGTACAGCCCTCTATGCTCCGACCATCGAACGAGCCCCTAGTAGAAGTTAGCCCTCGGTTGGCTCTAATCGCACCAACGTTCACTTTGTTTCCACACCCATGTTCGATAATACTGACCGCTCTGCGTGAAACAAAAACTACTAGGCCCATCGGACGGTCTATAGATATCCTGCAATAATTTGCTCTTCTAACAATGCACATGCACAATGTATGGACTGATAGGCAAAAAAGCCTGTTCGTGCTCATACTATTTACTACTATTACTATTATTTATCATATATTTGGTGCTCATCTTATATTTAAAGTAAGCCCAGTTAGATAAGGTTGTGAGAGAGTCCTTTTGTTACTTGTCATGTTATATACTCGAGTAATTGGGTCTGGTTGCATGTTGAAGCGTAACGGTATCTGTAATAGTACCGTCCATGTTGCTATCGGCTGCGCCACCGACCAACACTGACTGACTTAAAATTGTCTAATTGAAATTGCCTTCACCTGATTAAATCCACTCTGTCTAACTTAAAAATTGCCTCTCTCGAGTCATGCTCATGAACGCCACCCAAGCCAAAAACAGAACCCGTGAACCTTAGATTTGGCCATATTGTTCTAATTGTTCGCATAATATTGAGTGGTTTCTTCTGGCCGTGGCATGAGACGTACTGGTTCTCGTGAGGCTGCCCATTCCCCGGAGAGGGATGCCCAGCTCCATTCAATGGATACGGTTGCCGATGTCCAGCGCCATGCGTGAGCTCACCGCCGGGCGTACATCCAGATACTGGAAACATAGCAAGAAACGGATTGTGAGATGGTTTGCTTTGATATCCAGAGGGACAAGTTATACGGCAGAGCAAAACCTGTGACGATGTGTATGCTATCGTTACATCGTCTACATTATAACACAGTCCAACCTGAAGTGATTTACAGGTAGCTACGCCATATTATTATTGTGATAGCATTCTAAAATGCTGCTCAGCACCAAAGTGGCAAGGCAATAGTCGATATTCCAGTTATGGACTTGTGAAAAATCTTGCGTTAATTCACCTAGCAAAATTTCAATGATGAGTGGGTACTAAATTCAGAACAGTTTTGGTTAGTTGTCTGAGAAGCTGTTAGACTTATTAAAATGTACGAAGTATCGCAGCACGACTAACAGTCATTGATAAATTCATGGTGCCTCAGTTAAAAAGAAAGGAAAAGATGTTGTCCTATTAATAGTAGCCATCACAAGAGGTTACAACTCTCGATGTTGTGATAGATATATGAAATTATTTAAATTATATTTTATATTTCTTCAAAAACAGGCAGTGAAGTTGTATAAGACTGGTTCTTACTTCAGCGTCATCCCCCTCGTCTTCCTCCCTCACCGCCAGATTCCCATTGTTAAGCCTCCAACAGCCGACTCTTGCCAGCCTTCGCCATTTGATTGCCCCCAAGGTGGCGTCATCGTCCTCGTGCGGAACCTGCAGGCGCAATCTTACGAGCATCGGATCGCGTTGTTGGGCGTTGGTACACACCTTCATGTAGGTGAGCCACTCAACGTGACGCTGCGTTGGTACGTCTGCAGAACAAGAGAACTCACAACTAAGAGCCTGACTGCAACTGTGCTGCGCCATCTACATCTTTATCATGTCGATTAGCAAACTGATCAGACTTTAAAACATGCACAACAGTAGAAGACTTAGAACACCTTGAAAATATGAATCATCGAATGTTTGATAAGTATTTTTACATGATAAAATATTAATCATATCTTGCCATGCTCAAAGTTCATTCAGTCTTACAGTTGCTAGCATGAAGACGTTGTTTTTTCAGGCCTTCTATGGCACGACATCAAAAACCAATTTTTTTTTGAACCACAAAAAGTAAAACCGAGTTTCAATGTTTATAAATGACTGATCACTATCATGTTGCACTGGTTCGCATACCAGTTTAGTCGATGCTGTTATCGATACCAGGGATGGGGAAGGGGAAGGGCCACCGACATAGGTACCCCCCCCACCACATCGGGATCTGCCCGAACCTACGCGTGTACGTACCTCTAGGGTGGTATGAGGGTCGATCCGGTGCCCAAGTCTCCGTCGCGCAGACACACAAGTTCACACCGTTGAGTAAACAGACGCCATTCTCGCCGGTCGAACACCGTCCGGCTTGTGCAGTATCCAAATTAGCGTTCCAGCAGTCCTCACGCCGATGTTGAGTGTTGATCCTGTCGATGTGTACTGAGCCGGCTGGCATGTTACCTGTATACAGGTAGGAAAGTGCAGTTATCACGCACTGGCACTATTACTGGCCACAATTCTGGCTGATACCATGATAATCCACGACGGATAATGGTCGCGTTACATCTAGGGAGGGTATTTAGTTATGTGGTACCAGACGCCAAAATTACCGGCAATCGTTGTCCGTAAGTGCAACGAATATAAATATTAGTCACTCGAGATTTATTAGATACGTATAGTCTTATCGTGGCAGTGATTTGGTTAGAGCTGTCCTGTCACTCCATTGACATCTATCATAATGCCATAAATGTTCACATAGGAAAGTTTCCTCGTGTCCTTGCGCACGTGTCGTTCGACACTCACGTATTTCAGGGGTCGTGATTGCTCAACGGCCGCAGCTCCACCTGCGTTTTCCAAACCGCGACAGAACTGAGTGTGTGCCAGTAAACTGTCGTTCCACTTCTATCATTCTTAAGGAATCATTGCTGAAACTAACGAATGATATGATCAATGTCACATGCGCCATATACCACTATATTCCTCGTCACACTCACATTGTATCTTTTCACACCTGCCCTGTATATTGTCCCCACTCTTACCTGTCACCTTTGTCACACCAACCCGTATCTGTCACATCCCTACGCGGTACCTTTTCGACACTGTTCATTTTCATCTAACCGTACCTTGTGACACCACGTTCCGTATGCTTGTCACGCCCACCCTTATTACATTTGTCCATGCTCCCTTCTGCCACCGTTGTCACATTTTTCTATCACTTTACTTCGTCTGTATCTTGTCACATTTTTTGGTTTCCTCACGCCTACTTGTCACTGTCGTTTCTCTCCACTCCCACACTCTGTCTAGCTATTTCCTTACCCATACCTCATTCAGCACCTTACTTCTAATACCCTTTCTGTCCATCACTTCCACTTTTTTTCTATCTTACCTTGTCACACTCACCGTGTATCTTGTCACCTATCCTAGTAGGCGCGTAGTTGTCCCGTCCTCACAGCGCGATGGGATGGCGTCGCGACGCGTGCTCTGAGTGTCGTCGCCACGCAGTGCGGTGTCAGCCGCATGACGTGAGGAAGTCAAACTTATCTCCTCCGTAGTCCTGCGATGACGATGCCCCCCGATCCACCGTAGAACCGTTCCGTCAAAGTGTTGCACGCTCGGCACCGCTGTAGACAATAATAGCATGATAATTAATTAATGATGCTAATGTATAATACTTACTACTAATTAATAGTAAGTATTATTATTAATATGGATAAAAACAAAAAAATAAATAAAAAAAATTGATAATGAAATAATCCATATACTTTAATAACAATATCTCCTCATAATCCCTGTCAAGATTGCAAATCCACATGACATGGAATTAGGTCGATGTCGAATCTTGACACCACGTGCAGAACAAGCAGATCTTCTTGCCAGAAAAAGTGAAAATAACCATAAAACTCAAGTTGAAAAATAAAACGGTTTGTACCAACGCATTGTTTTGCGTTTATGCTATCTGAAACTTTGCTGAAAGGCACTCGCCATGCGACAATCACGCGCTTACACCTGCAGCCTCTAAACAAGCTGTCATTCCTTTTGCTAATTCAATTTTACCCCGGAATTGCTAAACACGTCTACGCAGTGGTTTTTGGTTGTCACCCTCTGCATAGAAGAGAAGTAAGCTGTTTTTTCTTTCAAATTGCGGCAGCCGTATTTAACTGCAGGACAATGCATGTGAGAAGAAGGCAGGTATTCCGTTTGTGGCACCGTAATGACCCAGGCAGCAATTTACTTTCACGTATCTCTCGGGCTAGTTTAGATGACGGTCGATCTTCTATTCCAGCAGGAGAAGAAGAGAGCTTTGCCGTTGACACAGTCCTTTTAGTGTTACTTGAAACGCTGCGTCTCTCTGTCTGTAGAACACAAAGTAGAAGGTATTACAGTTCATGAACACATTCGCTGTACAGGCGGCTTATCATCACCCAATTCAAGATTCATCTGAGTGATATAACACTCTCTCATATCAAATTATTTCTAGGATTGTCAGCTACACCGATTCGTAAATGGTTTTAACACAGGTAGTGCCATCAATGTGGTTGTTGTGGCACTTTTGGTATCGAGAATTGCTTATATATACAATTTAGTCCGCTATCGCAATGGCTTGATTGGCTAGGCAGATTAATTGACTTGTCAATAATGTCAGTTGGATAAGCTATCAACCCCTCCTAAGACAACAGACAAGAGTGGAGAGTCTTGGGCATACAACTTGTGACTGCTTCAACATTAAAGATAACACGAAACAGTATGCAAAAACCGTGAAGCAGACTAAGAATTTGAACACAAAAGATGATCTATCGACCTTATAGCGATACGATATTGTCTACAGTTATTATTCTGTTGTAATGCCCGTTCGGCTCTCTAACTAGGCGTATATATCTATGTAATCTAGTTATGCAGTGCAATATGTATATATACTTATAACATACATACTATATCATGTATAAATATAAACAATATGAAACACTATTCTACTATTCCAACATTATATAACCAATGCAATCCGAATGTAAGTAAGCCGAATAAATTTGTTGAACAGGTATTAGTTCTGAAATACATACCAAGTACGCCACCTTGTGGTCCGTGCCCACACCGAGATTGATATGTGGATTCTCACCTTGTTGGCTTCCCACCGGGAACATCCCACGAACAGACGCAGCAGAGATAAGATCATTGTATGTATAATATATATATATATATAGTATATATATTATATTACTGGCAATGTTGGCCATAACACAGTTTGCTGCACCAGTCAATGCATATAAATGTATTAAATGTATAGTATCCTTCTACGTTTAATGTCTAATGATTGTATTATTCATATAAGAATCACGTTCATGTACGCGCACTGTAGTGTCACTACACTGGGGTTTGTGTCATCATCAAGAGATATGTTTCACTTGCAATTGAAGAGAGGGGGGCATGTCAGTCATCGAGCGATATACTCACTGCTTGTGGGGGTACCATGTCATCAAAAGTGTGATGATACACGTGTTGGCCCACGTGAGCACGATACACTCGGTGACCATCAGAATCATTAAGGTGGTTCCCCAGTGGTGTGGCTCTCCTGTAGTAGCCACACACACACACACAACACACACAATGAGTATGCTATATATATATTAGACTGTACAACTGACACTAGAATAAATCAATATCTATTCATTCTATATATGATACTAAGAATATAATATTATTATACTTAGTGTGCAGCTTACTGAAATACTGAGGCAAGGCTGCACGCTCTTCCCCGCTTATGTTTAGCATAAACCCTCTTCACCAT